CCCCATGCAGGGACCAAGTGAGGGGACTTCTTCCCTGAGCCCTGTGCATGCAGATGTTTTCCATTCAAACCCAGGTTCTTTCTGGAAGGATCAGTTCACCCACGGGAGGCAGGAGAAGGCTTCAGAGCCTGCAAGCTCATGGGAAACAGGATTAACTGGGAGAAGAAAGGGGTTTTATTTGCCCTGTTAATGATTTGCTGCTCTCATTACATCCCTATAAAGCAAGCATGCCTTGCCAGTTAACAGCCCTGACCTTACTGGAGTGGGAATGAAACCGGGAGAACTCCCCTTGGCATGTGTGTCCGCAGCCCTGGCATGGTGTGGGGGCCATGGTTACAGCTCCATCCCTCCCTCCCTCTGCATGCAGCTTCTGCAGCATGTTATTTACACTGCAGCAGGGTTCATGGCGTGCTGGGTCCTGCCTCTGCCAAAGGGGGGAAATCCCTGCCCTGGAAAGCAGACAACTGCTCCCAAGTTCATTTGCTGCATGGTCTTAAAGCAGGACCATGACACAGTGGCACCGGCTGTCCAGAGCCCTGGAGAAAGGCTGCATCCCCTCGGGGATGCCAGTGCCCAGTTCATTGCTCCTTTAGATCTTGCAATCAAAGACCTTTCACACCTCTGCTGGATGAAAGTGGCAATACCGCAGACATGAAATGTCACAAATTCGGGGGTTTTTAAATCCTGAGGCCTTTCAGAAGTGGCTCTCCACAAAGAGAGTTGCTCCATAAGCAGGATGCCACCAAGATGTGCCAGGCTGGTATGGGTAAGGACCATCTGGGTAGTCTTGCACCCAGTGGTCCTTTTCAGCTCCCCAAAAGAGAGATGCTTCACCTCCTCACCACCTCCCGTGAGTGAGGACCACATCCTTCCCTGCCTCCCCAGGCAGTGGCTCTGGGACTCCTGGGGGCTCGGCTGTAGGAACTGGTAGCACAGGGAAATTGGAGGGATCAGAGAGCAAAAACCCACTGGCAAAGGGTGGTTTTCACCAGCGCTGCTGGTCCCAGGGGACTGCTCCTCCTCGGCTGCACCTTCTTAACCGTGCCAGGCAGGTTTCTGCTCAGCCTCTGCATCCCAGCACCCGTGTCTCTAAGCCAGGGTGGGGAGCAAACGGCCCCTTCTCCCTTCTCTGTGCTCTCCAGGGGGACTCACAGAGGGACAAGCCATGCCCCAGGTTCCCCTGAGAGCCGCATCCCCCTCCAGCCTCACTGAGCAGCCCCTGCTCTGGGTGCTGCCTTTTGTGGGGCTGCAGCAGGGGGGGTGCTCGGCCTCCCGGTGATTGGGTGCTATTTTGCTCCGGCACCGTTGGGCAGCTGTTGCTGTTTATTACCCCCGAGAGCCGGGGCCAGGCGGGCTTGGAGGCAGAGCAGCGCCGGTGGCCAGCCCCAGGTAGGAATTTGGTGGCTTTTTAACCCTTTTGGAGGGCCATGGGGCAGCCCATGGGCACAGCCCATGAGGGAGCGCTCAGCCCAGTGGGGCCAGGGCCCTAGGGTTTGTCCCGGTGCTGCCATTACAGCGTGCATGGGGAGAGCAGGGCGCGAGAGGGGACTATTTTTGGCAGTTTCTTTGATGTGAGTCAGCGCCTGCAGCACCCTCAGGAGCTCGAACGGGATCGGTCCCGGGGACGGCAGCGCAGAGCTCATTATTTTTGTTGAGTACCTGCAGTTTGGGGCATTTAAGAGAGGATCTCGCATGTGGAGCATGCGTCCGGGGAGCGGGAGCACAGGAAGAGCCAGGGATGGATGGGCCAAGCTGTTGTATGGGATGTCAGTGTGAGCCAAGGGCTGGAGCTGGGCTCTGGGGTGTGGGTGAGCAGCCCTGCCATGGGCAAAATGTCCCTGGCATGAGTGGCATTCCCTGCTCTGCTTGCCATAGGCAGTGGCTGTGTGCTGGGAACTGCTCCGATAGGAAGCCTGTGTCTGTAAGTGACACGCTGGCTGGGGATGAGCCCCACCATGTGGGCTGTAGAGTCCCAAAATGCATCCATCTCCTGCCAGGGCATGGACCCCATCTCCCATCAGGAGAGGGGCAGACCCAGACATGGAGCTGGTCAGCTCTGGGGCTGAGTTAATGCCTGTGGGGTGCTTGGCACAGGGGTGGGTGTCACTGTCACAGAGCCCTGCAGCCATCGCAGCAAAGCTTCTGAATGTGCCCTGGGGCTGGAGGTGGTTTGGGCTCCTTCACCCAGGTGATGCCCTAGGGATGGAGGCACCATCCCAGCATCCCACGATGGGAGTTGAGCTCCGATGAGGGTTGGGGACCACAGCAAGGATGTGGTGGGACGCTGTGTGCTGCGGGACGCTCCTGCCCACCACCGGGGCTGCTGCCCACTTGGTTTATCCCTCTTGGTTTAGTGACATGGCAGCAGGTCCCGGTGAGGAGAAACACTTGGGATGCCCTGAGGCCATGGACGAGGTGCCCGGGCAGGCAGGGAGCACTCGGAGGCAGCCAAGGAAGGACAGGAGCAAAGGTACCTTGTGCTCACCGCAAGGCAGTGGCCAGGAGGTGCCGAATGGGGGGCTCAGCCCCCCCCCAACTCTTGGGGCAATGATGGGCATCAAGGGGCACCTGCGTGGTGCTGGGCCTGCAGGGATGCTGGCAGTAGCCTCTGTGCCCTCCTTCATCTCCCTTGCGTTCATCTTTGTGAATTGCTGTGAGCGCCAAAAACGCATCAAGGACTGGGGGGGAAGCTCTTTAAGGAAAAGCTCTCTGTCTCTGTGCTGTCCTCAGGGCTGGGAGCCCTCTGAGCCAACGCAGCAGAGGAAGGACCAGGCTCACTGTCACTAGAACAAGCCCAAAGGCTTTGGTTTTCCATTTCCTCTTGAAAGCAAAGACCCAGCCGAGAAGTTTCCTCTCACTCCTTTGTTTTGCTTCCAATACTGCATCTTAGATTTCATCTTGGGAACTGGTGACTTTTCTCCACGTTCGTTCTTCCACTGGGAGAAAATAAACTGAATCTGGCTCAAACGGGGACAAAAACTTCCTCCTCCTGGTGAGGACTTGCAAGGATATGGGCAGCCAGATCCCAGCACGGAGAGGGCTGTGCTCAGAGATGCTGAGGACTGAGGCCACTTGGTGCTGGGACACTGTTGGTGCATCCTTGCCCAGATCCAGGGGCATAGAAGAGCCGGAGGAGCTCAGCACGCTCCCAGCCCTTCATTCATCGAACCACTGCAGAGTCCTGGGGATGCTCTGGTTTTCTCTCCCATTTAGGAGGAGCCCCAGGAGCCATCCCTGAGCTTTGTGGGTGACCTGAGGTCTTCTTTGAGGTCGGCACTCCATGGTACCTGGAGCTTGTCCTGCTCTCTAGGCTATGGCCTGAGCTGCCTCCAGCCACGTGTTTCCAGGGTGTCTATGGGATGTTTGTCCCCGATGGGCGCCTTGGCAGGGGCTGGCACCACCGCCTTTGGCCGCAGCTCCCTTGGGACACCCAGGACGGTGACGTTCTGGGCTCAGCAGCCGCAGACCTGCCCAGTGCTCCCCTTACACCGCGACCACCCCGCGATGGCCAAGGGGCTTTTTGCCTCCAGGGGTCTCCTGTCTGACCATGGCCAGGATGTCCCCGCTCTGCAGGGCGGAGGGTGGCAGCGGGAAGACCACAGACCGCCAGCCCCTGAGCTCCCAAACCCGCCGCCGGCTGAGCCGCATTGTGCTTGTCTTTGACAGATGCTGATGTGCTGGTGAGCAGTGACGGGGAGAGCAGCAGAGCCCATGTAAGTGCAGTGTCCCGGGGCTGGGGGGGCTGTCCCACAGCGCCATCCAGGAGGGCTCTGCAGTGCACATCCCGGTGTCACCCAAGGCTGCATCCTTCAGTTGTCACTGGCGCTGATCCCTGCAGGTGGCCACGGTCCCTCATGGCACCGATGGCAGCACCCGGCCTGGCCACCAAAGCCCCTGTCCCCAAGCAGCACCAAACACAGACCCCAGCCCATCGTGCGCTTCCTGTTCTCCCGGCACAGACGTGCACCATGTCCCCATCCCACCCGGCCATGCTGCCTGCTTTCCCCATGGGGGCCCTGTGATGCTCTGGCCCCCCCAGCCACGCTCACACCCTCCCCACAGGGGCTAGAGAGGGCAAGGACCCGGCTTGGTGTCTCTGAGCAGGATCTGGACCAGCCTGAGCTGAGCATGCCCGAGCCAGCGCCGCTCGGTGGGGACAAGAAGCGGGCGGAGAAGGTGGGAGCCAAAGGCAGCGGTGCCAGCCCTCCAGGTAGGTGTGCAGGAAAGCCCTTCCCTGCCCCAGAACAGTCAGCCTGGCCCCATGGGCACAATGGTATCAACTCCTCCTCTCTGCCCTGGCCAAATCTGCTGCTGGAGAGCGGGGAGCAGCAGGGCCAGGAGCGTGGGCAGAGGTATTCCCGCTTGAGCCCCAGGGTGCTGTGACACTGCCAGGGCCCAAACACTGGGGATTCAGCCCCCATGACCCCTTTTTTCCCCATCTCTGCAGTGCAAACTCCTTTCTGTGCTGGTCTCTGCAGGTCCTGGCCCTGCGCCTGCCTTGGATGGGCTGTGCAGGGGCATGTTAAGAGCCCTTCCCACCACACAGCTCAGAGCCCTTTGCTGCTTCCCAGCCCTCCCAGTAACTCTGCTTTTCCTTGCGGTCCCCAGTCCCCAAGAGCCTCCCCGTGCAGAGGAAGGTGGAGCCCCCCAGCCTGGACCCCGCGGAGGAGCCGCTCCTCTGGGAAGGGCTCACCCTCAACAAGTGCATCCTCGTGGCCTCCGTCGTTGCCCTGATCAGCGTCACCTTCCAGGTGCTTCAAGGTGAGCCGGGGGCCTGGATGGAGAGGGACGGGGTGGTCGGACCCTGCTGCAACCTCCTGCCTCCTCTCCTCTGCTCTCCTCTCTTCCAGCTCCATGCTCCAGGGAGGCAGTCAGCCGCGGCAGGCAGGACCCGCCACCGCCTCCTCCCCTTCACGGTGGGTTTGGATGCTCTGTGCTGCCCTGGTCCCCTGGATCCAGCCCAAGATGGGGCCATGTCCCAGGGTGGGGTGGCCCTGTGGCCCCGTGTCTAGGACATGGCACCCAAACAGCCCCATCCCCTGCTGATGGTGGTCTGTCCCCCTCCCCTCACAGAGGTGATCACCACCAAGGAGGAAGAGGTCCAGGAAGTGGTGACAGCCCAACCTGTCCAGCCGGAGAGCATCATGTTGGAGGATGATGATGGTGACGATGACAGTGATGATGATAGAGATGCTGACAGCAACCTGGTATGGGTCTGGGTTGGGGGTGGGGGGGGGTGAGCATCTTTAGACACTTCCCAGGGAGGGGAGGGAGCATCTCAACCCCATGGGGAACCATGGAGAGGGGTCCCTATCCCTTGGGCTGCTTCACCAGTGCCTGGTCCCCTCTGTTCCACCCCAGGCAGAGCCCTGGATCTTCAAGAAGTGGTTTGGCCGCTCAGTACCAGGGGAAGAGGAGGAGGAGGAGGATGAGCATAAGGAAGAGGATGAGCATAAGGAAGAGGATGAGCATAAGGAAGAGGATGAGCATAAGGAGGATGAGCATAAGGATGAGGATGAACATGAGGATGAGGAGCCCACAGAAGAGCCCACGGATGTCCCCGAGGTGACACCAGCTGTGGCAGAGGTGAAGAAGAGCCGGGAGAAGAAGCTGGAGAAGAAGGAGGAGAAGGCGCGGGAGGCCCGTGCTGCCCAGGCCGAGCGGAGCAGCCGGAGGGAGGCACGAGCCAAGGACCGGGCGCAGGGGGACAGACCCAGCAGAGCCCCCAGGACCCACCGGGAACCGGAGCAGCAGCCCCAGAAGAAGCGGGGCCGGGAGGGGAGGGAGAGCCGGCGGGAGCGGGACGAGCCCCGGAGGGAGGGGGGAAAGGGACGTCCCGGCAGAGCCAGTGATGGCCGCGAGAGCCCGAAGCGGGACTGGAGGCAGCAGAAGGGCAGGAAGCCCTGGGAGGACGGCGCAGCCCGGCCCAGGGAGGGCAAGAGGCGCGACTGAGGCCGGGGCAGCCAAGGGGCTCAGTGATGCTGGATCCAGTGGGATCCAACCCCGGCAGTGCAACCCTGCTGCTCCCTGCCTGCTCTCCAGACACCCTGGCACAGGCAGCAGGTCCAGGATCACCCAGCAGCAGCAGAGCAGCCCGGGAGCCTGGCACCAGCCTCCTGGCGACTTTGAGCCCCCCTGGATTACACGCACAAAGGCAACGTGAAAGGACCTCGGGAAGGAGCCTCCCTCCCCCCCGGCCTTGGTGCAACTTCTCCATCCCACCCAAAACCCCTCTTGCAGCCCGTTTTCCCCCGTGGTCCCGAGGCATCGAGGCAGCACCGTGGGCACAGGGACCCCAGTGAACAGAGTTTGTCTCCAGACTGTGCAGCTCTTGGTGAATGGTTTTATTCGAAGCAGATTGAAAGAGAAATTACATTCTGGGTGAAGGAAGCCATCCTCAGAGAGGTGCCAGAGGAACAATCACCTCACCGGGCCCCGGTGCCGGCGCTGCAGGGTGGCACAAAGCTTTGCTGGTAGAAACCAGGGCTGGCGAGCCCATCACCGGGGATCCCTTCAGGCCTTGCCTTCACAGAGTCGCTTTTAGAACGAAACACAAGTGCAATACCACGCAGCGCTGTAGCAACTACAGGAGACGTTCACAGCCCCAGCCCACGGCAGGATTAAATACGTGCTAAATCAGTGCAGGTTAAAATAAACTATTTTCATTTTTAATAAGGAGTGGTGTTTAAAAAAAAGAAAAAATCAACCAAGAAAAGCTCTTGCTGCTGGTTGCGTTTGTGTGTTTTCTGTGACCGCATCCCCGATGGACAGGGGCTCGGGGCTCACTCAGGTCCCTGCATGGGCTGCAGGATGGGGCCGCTGCAGCACTGGAGGGGATGAGCAAGGGTTTGGAGCCTTGGGCAGCCCTGCCCAGGCTGAGCTGGGAAGATGATCTGGGAGCAGCCGGGCTCTCGGTGCTGACGCTGGCGGGGACGTGGAGCAGGTGCTTTGGCAGCCGCTTGTGCCTGCTCCCATTAATGGTGTGAGCAGGCAGGAGGAGTAACGGGATCGCTCCCTCCCTCACCCCAGAATGGGGTCAGCACAGGGAGACTCAGAGCCCCGGGTCTCTGCCAGCGCCTCCCCGTGGCCCCAGGGCACATGGGGACAGATCCCAGGTAAAGGCTGGTCCCTGTGAGGGGGTTCTGCCTCTTGTTCTGCTTTCACAGGTGGAGCTTTGTGGGCAGCGAGGCTTCAGTGTTGAGGCCAGAGGATGCTGCAGAGTGAGGGGGGCTTTGGGCAAGCAACAACTGCCCCTGTCCGGCTGCTACAGGAACACAAGGCAAGGGATAAAGAAACATAATCGTGCCTGGCTCTGCCAAGCTTTGCCCTCTCCCCATGACCTGTCTCCAGCCCAAACCCCACTGTGGAATCAGAGCCACGCTGCAGCACAGCAGCTGTGGCATCCCTGGCATCAGGAGCAGGCACAGGGCACGCCAGGCTGCAGCACAGCCCCCAGGGACCAGCACAGCCACAGCTGAACCCACAACCAGAGCAACGCTGAAGAGCTAAACCATGGGGAAAGGATGCACCAGGAGCTCCCATCTCGGCGAGAAGCAGCTCCCGAGCTGCGGAGGCAAACGGGGAGCAGGGAGCAGGCTGAGGGCGGGCGGGTGCCTCTTATCGGCAGCCACACTCCTCTGCCACCATGTTGGGGAACTTGCGGACCTCCAGCCCCTCGGCGGAGAGGCTGATGATGAGCTGGTCCGAGTAACGCACGGGCACGCAGCAGGGAGCGCGCTGGAGGGGCGAGCCCCGCTCCTGCATGCCCAGCAGCAGCACCGTGTGCGAGTAGTAGCTGGGGACGCGGGTGGAGAGGGGCAGCCGGCAGGGCCCCTCGCAGTTGTTGGCTGCATAGACGGTGGGCATGACGATGAACTTGCGGTCGCGCAGGTCGATGGTGAGCTCCTGCAGGCGGCAGTGGGCCTGGTGCCGTGCGCTGCGGTTCTGCCGCTGCACCCTGCGGCGCTCCTGCCAGCGCACCCGCACCGTCTGCAGCGCCTTGAGCAGCAGCAGCGCATGCAGCTTCCCCGAGCCGGGCGGCTGCTCCCTGCCTGCACCCTCACCGGGCCCTGGCGGGTAGTAGCAGAAGCTCAGGAGATGCTGGAACAGGCCCATGTTCGCTTGGAAAGCCGGGATGTCCTGCAGCTCCTGGATCAGCGCTTCCAGCTTGCCCATCAGCAGCTGCAGCACGGTCCCCTCCGGCTGCCAGTCCCCCAAGTGCTGCTCCAGCACGGCCCCGCTGTCCTGGGGGAAGAGCAGCACCGAGGGCTCCTCCGACTGCACCAGGCGCTCCAGCGCTGCCTCCTCGGACAGGTTGAGCAGCTGGTGCGGGAGGGTCTCCATCACTTGGAAGTCCAGCCAGTGGTGGGAGCTGGGCTGGGCCGGCGGCTCGCTGGAGGGGCTCAGGACCTGGTGGATGAACCGGGTCAGGGTTCCCAGGAACTGGCCGCTGCCGCCGGGCACTGGGGAGGAAGCGTTGGCTTGGCTCGGGGCAGTGGGGGACAGCAGCTCCTCGGTCCTGGCCTGGGGTGGGCTGTGAGGAGAACACAGAGAGGGTCACAGGGTCCCACCAGGCTCTGCCCCATGGTAGAGGGGCTGGGGCTGCTCCTCTCCCATGGCTGCAGTGAGGGTCACGGACCTGAGCTGTGGGTATGGAGCCACGTCCAGCACCCCATCTGCAGAGAGGTAGGAAGAAGGGGCCAAAGCCGCTTCCTCCTCCTCCCGCTGCCGTGACTTGGCCAGCAGGAGCAGCACGGGGGTCATCCTGGTGAAGCACTTCTCATCGGAGCCGAAAAGGAGCTGCTGGGCCTCAGCAGGGGGCAGGGGGGCACCTGGTGGGGAGAAGAACGGTGAGGACCATGGCTCGGGGTCCCCCATACGTCCCCACAGCCCATCGTTGGACGGGCTTGGGCACATCCCGGGACACAGAGGGCACAGACCACGGGGGTGCCGTGTCCCTACCTCCCGCTCCGCGCTGCCTGAGGGCCAGGGAAGCCTTGAAGCGGAGCTGCTCGCTGGTGCGGGTGACCGCTGCCACGGCGGCCCCCAGGGCCAGGTACCGGGTGTCCCCGCCGAGGCAGAGGCTCTGGGGGGCGCAGGGGTGAGACATCGCGGGGGGACCCCAGGGACTCCTCCCTCTCCCCCCCCGCTGGTGGCCCCGGGTAGTTCGGGACCCCCGCGATGGAGCTGCGGGGCCGGGGAGTGAGGACGGGACCGGCGGAGAGCAGGGGTACGCCGGGGAAACAGCTCCATCTGCAGGCACGGCTCGGCCCCGGCGGGAGCTGGGAGGGGCGGCAGAACGGGAAGGGGTGGAAAAGGGCCTGGGAGGGGATGGAAAAGGGGCTGGAAGGGGGTGGGAGAAGAGGGGGGCAGGATGGCATAGGGACTGTGTGGGTACGGCAATGAGCTGAGGAAACTAACCGGGAGGGGCAAACAGACTGGGAGGGGGTGGAAAGGGGACTGGGAGAGAATAGCAAAGGGAGTGGAGCGGGGTGGCAAAGGGAGGCAGGAGGAGGGGATGGAGAAGAAGTTGAAGGGGACGGCAAAGGGAGCGGACGGGGATGGTGCAGGTGCTGGCCCGGCAGAGCCGAGTCCCCCCTTCCTTTCCCTTCCCTTCCCTTCCCTTCCTCTCCTTCCTTCCTCTTCCTCCCTCCCTTCCCTCCTCCTTCCTTCCTCCTCCCTTCCCTCCCTCCTTCTCCCTCCCTCCCTTCCCTTTCCTTCCCTTTTCTTCCCCTTCCCTTCCTTTCCCTTCCCTTCCCTTCCCTTCCCTTCCCTTCCCTTCCCTTCCCTTCCCTTCCCTTCCCTTCCCTTCCCTTCCCTTCCGCAGCCGGAGCCCCGGCACCCACCTGCTCCCTCGCCAGCCCGGTGCCCGTGGCCAGGAGCTGCTCGCGGTGCCCCGGGCGCTGCCGCGGGCCCAGGTAGAAGAGCAGGACCGCGGAGCGCAGCGCTCCCAGGGACCGGGCCACCTCCGGCTGGAAAAGCAGCTTGAACCAGAGCTGCGCCGGGGCCTCCCACTGCACTGCAAGGGAGAGCAGCGGTGAGAGGAGCTGATGGGCTGCAGGGACACAGCGGAGCGTGCTGAGGCTCTGCGGTCGTGTGAAACCCCCATGCCCGGTTTCAGGAGGGGTCAGCAGGGGCTGCCTCGCTCCCCGAGCGGCTCTGGCAGATTTTCACGGGCAGATCTTCCTGTTCCATCTCCTCCTGGGACACCTCCCGTTGCCTGGGGACACTGCGGCCACTGGGAGCCAGCAGCGCTGCCTGGGGAAGAGCCACTTCCCATCTGCCTGGGTTTGGTGCAAGGCTGAAGCTACACGAGCCAGCCCAAGGCCCCTCAGCAACACCCAGCGTGAGATCAGCTGGGGACACAGCACAGCAGGAGCAGCCAGCGCTGTCTCTCAGACCCTCTCCTCTCTTTCCTCGATCAGAGTTGTGATGGGGTCCTAACCTGAATGAGAAATGCCTGTGATCCCGAAAGCATAGAAGCCACCAAGAGTATGGCCCCTGGGCACTGGTGACAGGCTAGGACACAGCCATCATCACTACTAAAGCTTCTTAAAAAGGGACCCAGGAAGACATAGAATCACAGGATGGGTTGGGTTAGAAAGGACCTTAAAGATCATTGAGCTCCACCACACCCCCCACCACAAGCAGGGGCACCTTCCACTAGACATCACTGTATTCACTGCTTGTAAAAGGAACCCAACCCCGCACATACAACTTGGTGCCTAAATCCCTGATTCAGGGCAAGCAAACAGCCTCAGCCTCCCCGAGCCCCGTGCTCAGCCCCAGTGCAGGGATCCCCCACCAACCTTCCTCCAGATGCAGCACGAGGAAGCGGTCCTGCCCCGGCTCCAGCAGGTGTGCATGGATGTGCTTCAGGGGATGGAGAGCAGCACTTGCCTCCCCGCCCAGGCACAGCCCGAAGGTCTCCAGAGAGCCTCGGTCCCAGCTGGTGCGCTGCCTCAGGAGCTTGATGAAGCTGCTTTCGTAGTGGGTGAGAACCCCCACCACGTCCAGATGCCCCGGGGTCAGCCCGTCCTGGTCCATTGCCACCCTGCACACGGGCCCCTCCAGCCCCCCGAGCGGCCACGGGTGCAGGCTGGAGCTGGTGCCCCCATCCTCAGCCATCTCCTGGAGGCATTTCAGTCCTGGGTCAGGCTTTGAGAAGGGGCGAGCAGCAGCAGCCAGCCTTGGTCTCCCCAGTGAGCTGGGTCTTGCTCCTTCCTGGGAACTTGCATTTTCTCTCCTTCTCTCCTCTGCTGCGAGTCCCAGCTCCTCTGGCAGGCTCAGCTCCATTTGGTCAACTGGGGAAAGCCTTTCTCCCATGCTCCCCTTTCTTGGAAGTGCTGCAGAGGGAAGCAACAGCACCAGGCACAGCCAAAGCACCCTCAGAGCAGCCTTCATGGTCCTGCTTCGGCTACTCCAGCGCAGTCCAAGCCGCTCACACGCATCCAGAACACTGGGGCAGGAGGGGAGGACGGCATCTCCCTTTTAAAAGCGGGTGGCCTTGAGTTGACAATGCACAACGCAGCTCCCTTGAGAAACTCAAAGTGCTGGAGAGGAGGGAGGGATGCTTCAAAGAAACCTTTCTGTTCTATTTTTGGGTTTGCATCCATATTGGAAATGTAAACACGAAAAAGAGGAAAGCTGTTTCTCTTACTTGTAGGGATGCACGTCCTTGACTTCAGATGTTTCCTAAAGGAGGATGGATGTCTAGACCTGGATCTTCTTGGGGACTGGCACACAGCATTCCCATCAGCAGTGAAACACCAGGAGGGCAGAATTAACCAGGAGAAGGGGGATAGAGACAGAGAATGGGCAGAAGCTAAGTACATGCATGGGAAGTGTTCTCTCTTCACTGGTACCTCACATGCTGCAGGTTAGAGGCTGCCCGGGCTGCTTCAGCCTCTAAGGAGAATTTCACAGGGTGCAGGAGCACCCTGATGCCTTTGAACACTTTGGAGTTAGGAAGTCTCACAACACACCTCTTGTAAGGACTTTTCCCTCTCTGAGATGCCAATGCTCACCTTAACAGTTGAGGTTACCCACGCCACTCATCTAACCCACCCCAGTGAAACATGTTCACCCCCAGCATACCTCTTTTGGCAGCTGAGAGCAGTGGGAAACGTACCTGCCAGACAGTCCCAACACATGTTCAGAGCCGTCCCTGGGTTCCCAAGGCCTTGTAGTTCAGAGCTCAGCACATCACAAACAGACCACGCAGCTGCACTGGAGAGGGCCAAAGGCACCCCCCCAAGGCTGAAGAAGGCAGCCCTCTCCTCTGCAGGAGCTGTGACAGGGGACCCAGGCCTGGCAAAGGGGGACCTGCACAAGCCCATTCAAACACCAGGCCAGCTCAGCTCCAGCCAAAGAGCATCCAGCACGGTGGTGAAGCCAGGCAAGGGCTGGACGCACTGAGTGGGACTCAGCAGGACCTGTGTCAGGCCAGCAGAAGAGGTGACAACTTTGATTTCCCATCAAAGGGGCACGTGGTGGTAGGGCTTCGGCAAGCTCAGCCTCCTCTAGGCCTGTGACCCGAGCCAGGCACTGGCCAAAGGCACAGACAGGCCAAGCAGCCCAGTCCCCAGTGCTGCTGCCCCCCACGGAGCACTCAGGTCCGGCTTCAGTGCCCCCCCACTTCAATGAAATGGATCCTGGAAGAGAGAGAGAGAAAAACCTCCAAAATCCTACTTTCAAATGGCAGCCAAACAGTTGTTTGAAGGAAACATCAGGAATAAATAAAAACAGAGAGCAAGAACTTGTCAAAACTAGTCTGCCACTGGGAGATCTTACATGTACAGTAAAACCACACGTGGCAGCAAGTGCTTCATAGCAGTACAGACATTTAATGAATTACAATCATAAACTAAGATTTAATATCACTGCAGTTCTTTGAGTAAACATCCCCAGAGATCCCCAGCACCAGCACGAACCAGAGCACTGACACTCTGGGAAGCCGTGTTTGGGGTGATAACTCCAGGAGCTGCAGCTGCCTTCCGGAAGGGAGGAATCTGGCTTCAGTTGAGATCTTGTCTGGTGCTTTTCAAGGACTCCCGAGAAGCAATCCAAACGGACTGCCTCGGTGGAGAGGCTTCCAGCTTTTAGCTGGCAACACCTGAGTGCTCTGGCACCAGGAGCAGAAAGGCAGTGCCATCAGTGGTGACCCAGTAACGGAATCCTGCCCATCTGCCTGTGACAAGTCTCCCCATCACTGAACGAGCAGCTCCATAAAGGACTTCAACTGATTCACTGGCTGGGAATTTCTGGGATACACATCCAGCCACAGCTGTGCTGAGGCTGATGTAGCTTTTCAGTTAGGAGGCAAAGTGCCTTGAGATTTCCAATCCTTTGTCTCTTCTTTGGAGAATTTCCAACGTGAAACCAGACGGGGAGTGTTTGACCTAAGGGCTAAAGGAAGTGAACACATGGCAGTATTTTAACCAAAACACAGGAAAACAGAAAGGAAAATTGGAAAGCTTTTAATGAACCTACAGGATTTAGTCAAATGTGCAGGTGTACAAACCCGAAAGAGGTCTCTCAATCAGTCATGAGCTGCGTATAAAAAGAGAGGGGCTGGAGGAGTCCAGCAGGACTGAGTCCAGGAGGGGCTTCAGTTGGAGGGAGGCGGAGGGGGGATAGTGCCCGGCCCCTCTGTGGGGAGCGGTGGCCTCATCATGGGTGGCAGAGGAGCCGGAGGGGGTACACCGGGGGCTGGTGGCAACTGCGGTGGCACTGGAGGCGGTGGCACCGGTCCAGAGGGAGGCATAGGAGGCAGGGTCATGCCTCCTGGAGGAGGTGGTGGCATGGAGTCAGGCAGAGGTGGCCGCGGGGGCAAGCCGTTCATCAGCGGAGGTGGAGGAGGCCGCTTCACAGTCGGGGGCCCTGGAGGGAGGTTTGGAGGAGCTGGGGGCTTCTCCATCTTGAAGTGGAATTGAAGGAAGAACTGGGGAGGGGAGGAAAGCAGAAAAGGGAACAATTGATGCTCAGGACAGCTTTGTGGCATCACACAGACAGCTGCCCTCTGTCTCCAGGAACACAGCTCAGGTCTCTACTGCCTTGGTAGCTGCACAGACCATAGTCGCTATTCTACCCTGGCAGCATTCCTGACGTGTACTGGTCTTGTCTAGTACTTAACTCCTCTGAAACATGTTCTCAGCACTAAGCTCTCTGTGATGGGTCAGCATCCCCCCACTCTGCTGTATATCCGCACCACAGGCTCACCAGACCTGCAGCCAGGAGCCACACAGTGGGCACGGTGTTGCACGTTTATGCACCCCCCTGCTGCTGCTGGCAGCAACCAAGGATCTGCCTCCCTGGTTCAATTCTCACAGACTCCTCTGTCAGGAGGAGTCACTGCACAGCTGCATTCATAGAATCAGAGAATGGTTTGGGTTGGAAGGAACCTTAAAGCTCATACAGTTCCAACCCCTGCCACTGGCAGGGACACCTTCCACTAGAGCAGCTTGCTCCAAGACCCATCCAACCTGGCCTAAAAGGAATGAAGATTTAAGCATCAAAGCCAGCATGAATGTAACTGATGCACACTCTTCTTGCATCACCTTTCCCCCCAAGGTGCTCTGATATCCCTCTCCAACCTTTTTGCACTGCTCCAGTTACCTGTTTGGTTTCTCTGTTCCAGTGAGTCCAAAACTTTCCCTCTGCTTTGTCGATTTCTCTGCTTGGCACCTGCAGCAAAAAAGAACAAGGACCTATTATTAGCACCACCAGATTAGCTCAATGGCCCTTTTTAGCCCCAGAGCCTGCAAGATAAGCACAGTTATTCCAGGCCTTTGTGAGATGTGCTAGTCTCGGATGTTATTAGATAGAGATGGGGCCAGGAAAGAATTAAGTTACATCCCTATCAGTCAAGGACAAGTGTGTTGGCAAAATCCCCTCTCTCCACATCTGCACAAAGGCCGAGGAGCAAAGCCCAGGCAGCTCCTTTCCGTGCTGAGAATTCAACAGCTCCCCAGAGCTCAGCACACAGCCTAATTTTCATGCCAGAGTCCTCCACCAATTCTCAGTAGGGTTTAATGATTTCCAGTCGTATCTTCTTGACCCCCCTCTCCATTCCGTTAACCCCCTGCAGGCTAGAACAGAAGTCTACAATAGTGGTCACTGGGAATTAATGACTTGGAAAAGATAAGAAGGAACTTCCCCAACAATCCATTAAACCCAAATCTTACCTTGAAGGCTATGGTTTCATAGGGCTCTGCTGCCATCAAAAGGTATTGCCAGCGTCTGTCAGGGGGCTCAATCCTCTGCTCATAGGCTGACATGAACCGGTGACGAGGCATGATACTTTCTGCAATCTCTGGATAATCAATCTGTTGGGGTGTTGTTTCAGCATTAAGGAGATGTCCAGGACAGGAGAATATTCCCTTTCCACCCCACCTTTGTACAAAACAAATCCCTCAACTGTGAAGCATATTGAGAGGTCAGTTCCAAACAGATGCCACCAAAGGAAACAGCCTGACCGTGACAAGGTGGATTTGCCTCACACAATCAGCAGCAGAGCATCAGGCAGATGAGGCCTTTTTTTAATCATTATTAATTTCATGAAGCTTGCCAAGAACTGCTTGTTCAGCAGCACTTTTACTCAGATAATCCTGACACCAAGAATTTGACAGTGCCCTTACCTGGAAGAGAAGGCTCTGCTGGCCTGTTTCTGGGTCTCTCTGTTTGGTCACTGTAAAGAAAAGAAGAAAGCTCAGTGAACAAAGCAGGGTTAGAGCAACATTATTTCTGCCCTAAGAAACACTCAAAGCTTTCAGCAACGAGATAGTACAACATTTTTCTTCTGTTTATCAAACAAAATGCCACATTGTTTTTAACCAAAGTCACTACTGTGTTCAGTTTCAGGCCCCTCATCACAAGAAAAAGACACTGAGCTGCTGGAGCAGGTCCAACGATGCTGTAGTGTCTGGAGCACAAGTCTGATGAGGAACGGCTGAGGGAACTGGGTTTGTTCAGCCTGGAGAAAGGGAGGCTCAGGGGAGTCCTTCTCACTCTCTACAACTACCTGAAAGGAGGCTGTAGTGAGATGGGGTCGGTTCTTTCTCCCAGGTAACAAATGATAGGACAAAAGGAAATGGCCTCAAGCTGCACCAGGGAAAGTTTAGACTGGATATTGGGAACAGTTTCTCCACTGAAAGGGCTGTCAAGCACTGGAGCAGGCTGCCCAGGGAAGAGGTGGAGTCACTGCCCCTGGAGGTGTTTAAAGGACGTGTAGATGTGGCACTTAGGGACACGGTTTAGTGGTGGCCCTGGCAGTGTTAGGTTAATGGTCACTTCCAACCTTAATGATTCTGTGATTCTACTAAGGATCTCCACTGAAATTCAGCTGCTGAAGGGCAAGCACTGTGCACTGCAGAACAAAGCTGGGAGGCAAAGAAGCCAAGTTTTACACTGAAGGCCAAACCAAAACAATGAGGAGTTCAGAGAAAACACTTGAGCTATACATGCAGTGATTTATGAGCATTACTGAATGATAGTACAGCACAGTAAAATGAGAAGAGAGACTGAAACATCATTATCTGCTGCATGATTCCTACTAAGAGCTGACTGAGACATACCAATCTATTATTAAAATGATTCTCACTCGACTGTCAGCAGTAAAGAGATGTTCCATGGCAATTTCAACAACAGACATCAGGAGATAAGCCCATTTCTTATTCATAGCCAGAACTGCTCAGAACACTAATGAATAAATCACATCCCCAACAGTGCACTTCATCAGCTCGGGCAGACGTTGGGTGCCTCCCACAACAGACCCCCCCCCCCCCCAACAAACCTTTATAGCCTGGTCTTCCAATTTTCACAAATTTCTTCACTTCCACTTTGACCTTTTCTGGTGCAGGCTGGGCAGGGGCCTCCTTGGCCTCCTTGGCAGCTCGACGGGCCCTGCAGAGTGATTTGACACGTGCCAAATTGAAAAGGTTAGCCCCACTTGTTTCTAAAGGACACACTAGGAGCAGCTTGAATCCCTTCCCATGGAAGGTTCAGTGCTTCACAGAAAGCATGCCACAAAAACCTGCTATTTCTCCTCCACATGCACCACTACAGGCCACTTGTATCCATGGCCCCCCTGCCTAAAGGCTGTCATCTCATTTATCTTATCCTCCCCAAAGCTGACCTTGGATTTGGGAAGACTTCTTGAAACATAAAAGAAGAAAACCACACAAGCTACTCATCTATACCAAAGCAAACTTTGCATTTCTTCAAATAAAGCTTACAAACTTCTCCCAGCTGGTATTCACAAAACCAGATCCTTCTAACCAGACTCAGACAATCTGCTTTCAAAACTCTTTCTCCCCCTTCCTTCAGAAATCCCAAAACTGGCTTTGAACTTGAGCTCGAAATGGAGCTTGTCTTGTTTTGGAGCAGATCTAGGCTGTCCCCCCTGGCTAATGCCAGGCTGTTCCCTAGGAAACAAACACAGCGAAAGAACATTCAGGCACAGTGGCTACTGGATAAAGGAGGTGAAGATCTGTAGATGTGCACCACTTAAGTTTTAAAGTGCTTCAGTAATGGAGAATAAAGCTACAGTGGAGAACAACTTACAGATTGGTCTGATGCTTCTTCCCCTGGGTATGGGCTAAGTAACTTCCCTGCAATAAAAAACAAGGAATAAGAAAGTTAAACGAAGGCACATCCTACACTGAGAGATACTTGTCACAGAGGAGAGACAGCATCATGCATTGACAAGGGTATTTTAATCCTCAGCAGAGAAGGAATCTTAACTCAAAAATTAGATTGCTCCCAACTGCTGAACTGTCATGAGCAGTCAGGCTTAGCACACACAAGCCACCACCCCCCCGCATCTCCTCAGCACTCAGCCATCAGGCACGTCCCAGGTTCTTGCACCTGAAGCTGTATTCTAAAATCCCTGCTGCCAAGATGCAGCCAGCCAGCCTCTCAGCTCACCTCATTGTTGTGCAGTGTCAGACAGAGCTTGCATTCATAAGAGCCCAAGTGATTTTTCATAAAATAAGGGTCCTAAGAAGATAATTGTTCAAAAGTTATGAGCAAAATACATGGCAAAACAACAGGATAACCAAAATATTGACAACCTTCTTCTGCATTGGAAGAACTGGGTTCACAGATTTAAATTACCACCACAATACTGCTTTAGGACTATGAAACAGAACAGCTGTTCACCGGTGACAGCATACCCAACTGCAGGCAGGAAACAGCAAAATATCAACCAGTCCTGAGAAGGCTGAACGTAATATAGTACCAGCAGCTTGAACACAAAGTGCTGGCACCTCTGTGATCAGCCCCATCACAAGTGCTCCTCATTCAACTCCCACATTACCAGGAACAGAAATACTTCATTCCAATCCAGAACCCTCCACTAAATCTCACACCTTCCAAGCTATTTCACTCAGGCAAAGCCCTAAATGTTTCCCCACAGCTGGACAGGCCATTCCTGCAGGACAGAAGCCCTGTGTCTTTTCTTTCCTACACACACAGAGGCCAAGGCTCACCTTGTTGATGTCGATGGTTTCCAAAGCCAACTGCCGGAGCCTTTCCCTGCGGTCTCGGTTACTTTCTGAGGCAGAGGCTACGCCTCCACTGCCCGTTTTGCCCCCAGGACGATGCTGAAAATCCATGATGGGGACTTTTGTGCTTCAGCTACTTATGGAGAAAGTCTGGAAAGAGGACGAAAAGCAATGTGAGTGATAATTAATGCTTTTCCCAACCTGGAGGTCCCCCCACTATTTAGACCCATCAGCAAGGATGAGAGATGAGCACCACAAACCGTGCCCTGGACACTCGCCGCTTGATGCAGTGTCAACCACAGCGGGTCTTGCACCACTGGCTCAGTAAGCGGGGAAGGAAAATGACCCAGAATAACAATGTAATATTGGTTAAATATTAAAGGGGGCCTACAAGAAAGCTGGAGAGGGGCTTTTGACAAGGCTTAATAGTAACAGGACAAGGGGGAACGGCTTTAATCTGATGTAGCGGAGACTGAGCTGAGCTTAGGCAGAAGCTCTTCCCTGTGAGGGTGCTGAGGCGCTGGCACAGGGTGCCCAGAGAAGCTGTGGCTGCCCCATCCCTGGCAGTGCTCAAGGCCAGGCTGGACACAGGGGCTTGGAGCAAGCTGCTCCAGTGGAAGGGGTCCCTGCCCGTGGCAGGGGTTGGAGCTGAATGAGCTTGAAGCTCCCTTCCATTCTAGGCCTCTATGAACAAGCCTCCAGAGAGCGCCGCATCTTCTCAGCCACTGTTTCTACACAGACATTCTCCTCCCCAAGCTCAACTGGGCCCAACGAGGCTCTGCAGCCCCACCAGCAACCCAAAACAGGAGCTTCCAACCCTCCCCCTTGGCAGTGAACGGCCCCAGAACCTGCCAAAGCCTTCTCCATAGGTTCAGTGCTGTCCCCCCACCTCCCCCGGCCCCAGAGCCACCCGTACACAGCCCCAAGGCCTCCAACCCCCCCACCCCAGCAGGGCCAGGGCCTCAGCACCCTGTCCCCAGTGCCCCTAGGGGCTCCTAGAACCCCCCTGCCACTTTCCTCCCCCCAGGGACGATTCCGCCACCCCGGTAAGCCCTTTGCAGGAGCACCAGAGACCCCCAGCCCCTCAGCAGGCCTCAAAGTCCCCCCCGAGCACCCCCCAGCAAGGCTCAGCCCCTCTCAACTCCCCTCAAGCCCTCACCAAGGGCTCAAGGTCCCTCTCAAAGGCATCAAACCCCCCCACAAACACCCCCGAACCCCTCGCCAAGGGTCAAAACCGCCCGTCCCCCCCACATTACCCCCAGACCCTCAGCAAAGGCCCAAGACCCCAAACACCCCCCGCAAACCTCCCCAGCCCTAGGCCAAAGCCCCACACACCTCCGCAAGGGCTCAAAGGCCCCGAACAGCCCCAGACCCTCAGCAAGGATCACACCAAAGCCCCCCCCAACACCCCAACAACGGCTCAGCCCCCCAGCACCCATCACTGGACACCCAAACCCCCCCCCGATCGCCCTCCCGCTCCCCAGGCCCGTACCGGCTGCCGCCGCTCCCGCTCCCGCTGTGCGCATGCGCGGTGCCCGCTCCGGCTCCCGTAGCGATCGGTTCCGGGGCGGCCGGGAGCGGATCCGGGCGGGCGATGGGGCGGGTGTGAGCGGGGCTCGCCATGAGGTACAACGAGCGGGAGCTGCTGTCCCTGGCCCGGCAGCCCGCCGAGAAGGCGGCCGAGATCTTGATGCGGGTGCCCAAGAAGGGGAGCGGTGAGAGGGGGGGGTAGGACATGGAGCACGCCTTGGGGGCCTTGGGGACATGGCGGCGGGGCAGGGGTGGGAGGAAGAGGCTCGTCCCTTGAGTATCGCAGCGAATTCCCTTGCAAAGCAGCGCTGGAGCGTTGGGAATCCTCCCTTTCCTTGCGTTGTCCTCTCCTTGGAGACCTGTGGGCTTTGTCTCTGAGTAACACCGGTGCTGACAGCCCCAGGCCGGCGGGCTGCATCCTGTGCCTGTCACTGAGGGGATGCTGTGCGCTCTGCCGGCCCAGGAGCCTCTGGAGCAGGGCTTCCCCATGGGTTTGGTGGGGTCGGCGCCATGGCAGGGATGGAAAGGGGTTCCCTCTGCCCCATCGCGCTGAGCGCTCGCCCCCTGTGCCCACCTCAGCACCGGTTTCCTTTGCAGTGTTAAAGAAACGCCTCGTGAAGCTGGTTGTCAACTTTCTCTTCTACTTCCGGACGGACGAAGCGGAGGTAGGGAATCAGCTGCGTCCTCATTTGTCTCCACACAATCCCAGCCTGGGTTGGGTTGAAGGGAGCTTAAAGCTCATTCAGTCCCAACCCCTGCCACGGGCAGGGACCCCTTCCACTGGAGCAGCTTGCTCCAAGCCCCTGTGTCCAACCTGGCCTTGAGCACTGCCAGGGATGGGGCAGCCACAGCTTCTCTGGGCACCCTGTGCCAGCGCCTCAGCACCCTCACAGGGAAGAGCTGCTGCTCTATAAGTGCTCTTAATCTACCCTATAAAAGCTCCTCCCTGTCACTTCTCTGAATTGATTGCATGGGTTTGGTACATTGGTGCAATAAGAGGCTGCCAGAGCCAGGACACAGCAGCCACGTTTCCTCTTCCATCAACTCAGTGAGACCTGAGAGTGGTGAGGAGCAGCGCTGCCATCTCAGCACTCCCAGCTGCTTCTCCTGGGAGCTTGGAGTGAAGCTGTTACACATAACTGTGGCCCCAGGGCTGCCAGAGGTGGGGTTTGTGATGTTTGTCTGTAGGACTGTGCCCTGTCGCGCCAGACTGTGAGGGGAGGCTGAGATTTCGCTCTCCTGGGAAAGGTATTAACGTTCCATGTCAGGAATTCTGCCTGCACACAATGCTCACTGTTACCAGGATGCTCTGGTGGCCGTACCCTGGCACCATTGGTCTTCTGGGCATGCAGAAGCCCTGCTTGGGTCTAGATAAAAGATAGAACTGAGGGATGTGACCTTTGGGTTCTGTTTGCAGCTTTGCCACTGCTGAGATCTGGTGATTTTTAGCGAATCCCTTCATAACTGTTGCTAAAGAGTCTTTTGTTGGAAAGCGAATATAAAAGTGCTATAATGATGCGTGTGAAGACAAGTGCTGTGTGCATGCTGGTGCTCCAGGCCGGAGCTGGAAAGCTTCCTTTGGTGGTTTTAGACTTAGTCTGTCAGGACTCTTTCACCCTGATAAGGGCTGAGCTCCTCTTCCCAGCACTGCCCGTTCCTCCTCTCTGCCCAAGCACAGCCACTGCTTCACTGGTGCTGCAGTGGCTGCCACCAGGGAGATGGAGATGCGAGCACCTCTGGCTCATGGCCCTGGGCAGGCTCAGGTCTGGCTCCTGCACTGCTCTGAGGACAGAGCCCATCTCCTCCGCTGCCACCAGCGCTGCTCTGCTCCCTTTCCTGGTGGTGGTTTGGTCTCAAAGCACGTGTGTGTGCTCTGATGAGGGGAGAGGGTGTTCTTGAATGGATCAAAGGAGCTCAGCACATAGGTGGAGGGTGCTAATGTAAAACCGATGTGCCAGAAATGGAGACTCAACCAGGTTTTTCAGTATCTTCCCTGCTGCCCTGTTTGCCTCTCACAGTTTGTTTAGCTTGGACAAAAGAATTTGCTTTTTGTGGGTTGCCTTTGTGGCTTTTATCCCCCTTTGGTTCCCATGTCCTCGCTCTGTGCGCTAGCGAGCAAATAGCACCTACCCTTTGTCTGTTCTGAGCTGTTCTGGTTCATCACACGCTGTTCTTAAGCCCCTGCAAGGCTCCAGGACTGCCCGTACCAAGCACAGTGTGAGTTGTTCTGTGTCATGTTAAGTATTTCATCTTTGTTTCATTTACTGAGCAAGGAAGTAAATCTTCAGGGTCCTCACATCACAGAAACAGTGCTAATGCCAGGGTTGAATGTGAGCAAGCAGAGATGTTTAATACCTCATTCACGTACACAGAGTGTTCCAGGTAGGACTGGCACAGTGAAGCATGACTGCAGACACCAAAAGGTTCATTAAAAAACATGGAACATCCATGTAATTGGAGTGAGTTACTTTAAAGGTAGCATCAGGTGGTGAAACTCACTTAAATGGCACTTGGCAGATTGGGTTCAGCCCACTGTTGTGCTGGTGGGCAGCGTGGCTTAATCCCTCTCTCCGGGTCTTTTCCAGCCCATTGGAGCTCTGCTGCTGGAGCACTGCAGGATCACCAAAGAGGAGGAGAACGTCTTCTCAATCAGTGAGTTCCATCTCTGCATCTCCTTTGTGTTTCCCTTATGGCAAATAGTGCTATGTGAAAGGAAAGGTTTTGCTGCTTAGTTCGTTCTTTCCCCTCTCTTTCTGTGGTGACAGTAGGGCCAGTGCTCCTCAGCCTTTTCCTCCTCCTCAATGCCCCTCAGCCCTTCTCCTCCTCCTCAGCTGCCAGTTACTACTCTGGCATTGCCATCCCCCATTAGTGTTTTGTTGCTGGCTGAACCAGTCTGCGTGACTTGCACAGCTGCTTGTGGGGAGAGAAGCAGGGACAAAACCAGACCATGGCTTGTGGAGGGTTTGGTGCTGACAGATCGCTGCTTCTGTGCTGCTGCATTCATCAAAACAAAAGTCAGCCTCAGCTAAACCATCTGCAGAGCTAATCTAGCACCAGTCCTCCCGTCACGCTGTTCGTCCTTGTGTCGATAGCCATGGCTCCAGCTGGCCCGTGGTGTGTCGTCCTTTGTGAGCAGTCTTTCATCCAACAACTAATCATTGTGTGAGAGGTATGTGGCAGAAATAACAGGATGTTTCTCCAAGGCCATCCCCATATCTTTTGGCCTGGTTGTCAGGCACAGCTGCTTCTCTCTGCAGAGCCTTGTCTCCCCTTCCCACTGGGAGAGCTGGTGTTCTTGCTGTCTGCAGAGCACCCTCAAGTAGCCTGAACACGCTGATCTCCCTAAGCACCAGCTCCAAATTTCCTTAGGTTTGTTGGGAACTGGTGAATGAGGGGTCCTGGAAAAGGAACCGAGTGCAGTTGGGGTTGGGTTTGTCCCTGCACAGCAGCCCTGAGGGGTCTGGTGCAGTCTGACCCAGTTATTTCTCAGCAGCAGCCTGGATCTCTGTGGACTGTGTACTAAAGAGCAGAGCTCTGAGGACAGTGTCATTAATTAGATGTCCTGATTCTGTCTTGGTGAAGAGCAGGACTTGCACAGGGACTCGCTTTCTGCTGTGCTTAGTACCAAATTCCCAAAAGCCTCAAGCAAAGACAGGTCAGTGCCTTCTCTGAGTACATTTAATGTCTCAGATGGCTGCTCTCTGCATAGATCACAATTGCTTCCTTGGGGCCATTTTCCACTTGGATTACTCAGTCTGTGCAGACTGTTTGCAAGGAGGCTCAGGGAGCTGCAGTCAGCCATGGCCATGCTGCTCTGGTTCAGTTCCAAGCTGCTGCTCTCGGTGAGAGAAGTTGCTCTTTCCTCTTTGCAGCAGTCTTTGGCTGCTGACAGATGGTGGCAGAGGCTCAGGGCCAGCCAGGAGCCACGCAGGGTAAGGGAGAGGGGCCAGAGGTTGTGCTACCAGCTCGTCACAGATCATCTTGGTTGAACAGAGACGTGAACTGCGGCCTGGCTCTTGCTGTGAGAGCCCAGTGGAGCACAGGCAGCACTGCCAGGACCTCCCTGAAGCCTTTTCCTTGTCCCTGGCAGGTTTCATTGAGGAGCCCGAGAGGAAATACTGCTTCGAGTGTGACAGTGAGGAGCAGTGTCAGGAGTGGATTGAGGCCCTCAAGCGAGCCAGGTAGGCTGAGCCACCAGGGCCAGGGCTGCCTTGGCTGCTCTGGGCTGTTTGTTTTCTGGGATGGGCTTGTGGTGAAGGCAGGGAGGAAGAGTGGTTGTCTCCTCCCAAGCCAGCTTCCCTCTGGCTCTAAATAGCAGCTGAAACTTCACGTCCTGCCCTGCTCAGCCTGCCCAGGGTCTGTTCCTGTCTTACAGCTATGAGTTCATGAGGAGGAGCTTGATCTTCTACCGGAATGAGATCCAGAAAATGACAGGGAAGGTGAGTGGGTCCCTGGAAGTTGGCTTGTCAGTGGTGATGGTGGGTTTGGACTGGAGCAGGGCCAGCAGTGTCTGGTGCTGCTGGCAGCTGTCCTGCACAGGGCTCTTTGCTGCCATGGGTATGAAAGAGATCCTGTAGTAAGCCAGAGCCTGAAGCCGTGCTCCCAACAGCCAGACCTGAGTCTTCCTCCCCTGAGCAGCCTGCGCTGTGCCCAGCTCTGTCCCTCTTCCCGTGGTGGAGTGGCCCAGGGTTTGTAGCTGGGCAGAGCTGCCTGTGAACTCCTCCAAAGAACTGGTGGGAGTCCCAGCATGAGTGGGTCCAGACCCTCTCACACCCCTGCCAGGCTCCTCGAGCATCCCTGCTCGAGGTGATGGAGGCGGCTGCAGCTCACCTGTGTGCTCCTGCACCAGCGTGGCCTTGAACCATGCGTGGTTGTTCCCTGTGTCCTCCCTGGGGGCTGCCTGGCTTTCGGCACCAGAAACAGCAGCCAGGGCTGCGCTGGGGAACATCCAGTCCTGGCCTCCCCCTTGTCTGTGTCTCACTGGTGCCTCCCCTCTGCTCTTGCTGCAGGACCCCCTGGAGCAGTATGGGATCTCGGAGGAAGCCCGCTTCCAGCTGGGAGCACGCAGGCAGTAGTCCCCTCTCTGGAGCTGACCTGGTGCCTGGCCCCAGGCTGCACTCCCCGGGGACAGCAGCAGCAGTTGCCCTGCAGCAGTGACCAAGGGACTTTTTAATTTATTAGCCACATCATTTTGTATGATTTTTTTAACACAGAATTCTTTGCACATTCCCACTTGCCCCAGCTCCGGAGGCAGCCAGGCTTCACTGCTGCACCGCTGGCAGGAGAGCAGAGGAGGCAGGGACTGAACAGAGCTGCAGCACCCACTGTTCTCTGCTGCTGGGGCAGGCCCTGAGCCACCTCCAGCCCTCCTCTTCCTCCCCTCCTTCTCCTGCAGGGAGCTGCTCAGCTTTTCTGGCTCAGGATCTTCCTGCAGTCTCCAGGGGTTGTTCAGCCCCTGCTGGCAGAGGATGCTCCACCTGATGGCATTTCTGTGCTTGCAGGGTTAACCCTGTCCCATGCACTCCTGCTCATTGCAAAGCCATTCCATGCTCACCAAGCCTGATGTTGTGGAGGAGCTGGAAGCCTTCCACTAACAACAGGAGAGCTCAGCTGCAGGTGACAGGGGGTGACATCCCCTGTGTCAAGGCAGTCACTAGCACCGGCCTCTGGAGTGGTTTTCTTCTTTCTCCCTCCTCTGGGCAGGTTGTTTCAGTTCCTAGAGGCTGGAGGAGCCCACGCTGCAGCCCACTTAGAGCACTCCACAAATGCATTTGAAAGCCAAGCTGAAAGCACAGGGAGGAGAGAGCAGAGTGAGACCCATGGAGGGGGCAGGAAGGAAGCCAGGTGGAGGTTTGGAAGGATGGAACTGCTGCACTTTGGCTGGAGGTTGTGGCTTCAGGCCCTGCAGAAGTTAATCTTGGAGAGCATGTGAGAGCTGGGCAGTAACCCTTCATCCCCTGAGTTCCTGCAGTGTTCCTCCCCTTTGTGAGCATCCAAAGAGAAACACTGGGACACTGGAAGGCCAGGACACTGTGCCACGGTCATGACGAGCTGCCAGGGAACAGCGCTGTGGCTGCACAAAGGGAAACTGCCCAGGGATGAGGGGTGGAAGGACCCGCACCCCGGGGCTGCAGGACACCCAGATTCCTGATGCCCACAGCAGCAGAGGGTGCAGCTGGCAGCAGCTACCCTGGAACCAGATCAGGAAAACCTCCAGGAAGGTCCCAGGTACCATTGTCAGGCCCTTGATGACAGAAGGGACTCGGGCAGATGCAGCACAAGGTGAACTTTGGGGGTTCACCTGGGTAGGAGGAGCGCTGCCGCAGCCAACAGCACAGGGTAAGCGAGGGGCAGCCTGGGCTGTGAGCTGGGCTGGAAGGGAAGCTCCGAGTCTCTTCCTCTGGCTGGGAGTTGGTGCTGAAACGAGTCTGTACTGCGAGCCTCGGTGACCTGGCCTGCCCTGAGCTCATGCTGCTGGGTACCGGGAGAGTGGCAGATGTCACTGATGCTTCAGATTCAGTCTCAAAGCCAAGGTTTTTCCTTTCCCTCCCCAGATACTCCCTTTCCTTTCAATCATTCCAGGTGCTCGCTCCAGAAATTGCCAGAACAAGCCGAGGGGCAGCTGGCCTGCACAATGAGCTGAGGGCATGATGAGGTGGAAGCAGAACCCAGGGCGGTTCTGAAGACAGATGGCAGCTCTGGTGGAAGCAGCAGCGAGGGATTAAAGGCAGGAACACAAAGCTTGTGCTTTAGGGAATTAGTGTCCTCAGCTGACTTTTAAAGTGCAGTTTAATCCTCACAAGCCTCCTCTGCTTTACCTCAGTGCAGGGGCATGTTCCTGCCATGCTGGTGGGTGCACAGCAGCCTCACTGACAGAACCTGGTCTGGTCGCTTGCGAGGATGGATGGGTGGATGCAGCTCCAGCCTCAGGGTTGCTTTGCCAGCCAGGAATGTTGCTGCAGCACCGCTTTAGGGGCAGAAACCCAAACTGAGTGCCGTGGGGTTCAGCATCTGTGAATCCATCAATGCACAAAGTCAGTCCATACATAAAGCCTGGGAATTCTGCCACATTCAATCATTGCCAGCCAGCAAGCGGCTGGCGCAGCAGCAGCTCTCATCCTGCTGCCCTCTGGAACAGCCCCTTCCCAACCTTGTGCCTTTCAGCTCCTGGCAGAGCTGCCACCTTCACTGTACCTAAAATTGGGCATTTTCTGTTATGGGAACAGTCGGGGGAGCAGGAGAGAATCCCACCCCCATTTAAGAGGTTAATGACATTTCTGACCTGAATGTAAGACAAATGCTGTGAAGCCTTACATGGGCCCGTGGCCAGCCCGGTAAGTAACTGGGATCCACTTCCAGACTGTTGTAGGACACTGGGTGAGCTTTCAGGAGGATGGTACTGCCAAGACACCTCGAGATCCACATCGGCTGCTTGTGATGTTACGGACAATCGGTCATGTTTCCTCCTCTGGTCACTGTGCTTTTGTATTTCAGTGCTGTGTACAGGCTCCCGACGGTGTCCTGAAGCCAGTTATCTGTTGTACAGCGACATTTCCAATAAACACTTGTTTTAATCTTGCTGGGTGTCTGAGAACCCAGAACCTTCCCTGGGGAGGGGTGGATGGAGCGAGCTCGGTGCTTAGGGGCACTGGAACAGGCTGCAGTCACCATCCCTGCAAGGGTTCACGCAGCATGGAGACCTCAGTGCCATGGGTTAGGGGTGGCCTTGGCACTGCTGGGCACTGGATGGGCTTAAAGGGCTTTTCCAACCCGGTTGGTTCTATGGAGACGATGCTCTCAGCCCCATGAGGAGGAGCACGGTGGTGGCTGGAGGCAGGGACCCTGCTCAGGATGCAGCTGCAGATGCTCCAGGTTGGAGGGGTTTGTACCGGAGCCGAGCGCTCACTGTAGCCCCTGTAACAACCAAACAGGCTCAGACAGACAGGGCTGGGTCCTGCTGCTGCCTGTGCACAGCACCTAAAACCCATCTCAGGCCAGGAGCTGCAATGGGGCCTGCAGCTCGCTTTAAGGCTCCTCCAGCCATTCCTCTTCAACAGCGTTTGAACACATCCCTTCCCTTCACTGGCTAAAAGGGTCCCCAGAGGCGCACCAGCACGTTAAACCCCATGAGCTCGGCTGCCCCTGGCCTCCCCAGAGCTGAAGGCACCGAGTCAGGATGTGGGGGGGCATGGCTGCTGCCCCCAGATAAAGCCACATCCAGAGCCCCCATTTCCTTGCTGGCTGCTGAAGCAGTGAGACGCCACAACAAGACGGTGTATTAAAATACAGACACTTTAATATAAAGACCAAACTTCAAAGCATTGTTTCAATTACAAATCAAGGTAAAGACACAAGAAATTAAGTGGAGGGAGGGGAGGAAAGAATAAAACCCCTAACTCTTACATTGGGGAGAATTAGAAAGGCAGGGTGGAAATATATATATTATACATACATATATACAGAGCAGAAGAATTCATTCTAGTTCTATGGAAGAATGAAAGGAATGAGAGGCCAAGTGAGCGGTATCAAATAAAACAAAACTCCAACGACAACAACAACAAAAATAAAAAGATAAATTAGGGGAAGTCTGAATTTTAAATAATTCAATTTAATAGACTAAAATTATATAAACTAATTCCTATTCACTAGGAAACATCCCATTATCACTGCCCTAAGAAAAACTGGGGGGGGGGGGGGGGTAAAAATCCACTGCAAAATGGATTTCATTAGTAGTTAAAAGTTAACGAATCAATTCCTGAGCAACAGCAACCTCCTCATCTCCTGCTTCCCCTACCCAGGGCCCACTCGGCGGGGGCAGGCTCTCCCTCCTGCCGCCTTGAAGTACAACAGAGACCTAAAGAGCTGGGGTTTCACGTGAGACCGAGGGGTTACACAAGGATGGCTCAGCCCCTTCCGCCTCCGCAGCTCCACCACCAAAACCTCCCGAAGCGATGGGGCTGCCCCGGCAACGCCAGCGGCTGCGCCTGGAGCCAGCCAAGGGGTGCCAACGGTGGGAACATCAGGGTTCACATCCCAAACCTCAGTATTTTGGAGTGCGGGTTTGGTTTTGACCATGAAAAGCGTCAGAGACCGGGGCACAAACAGCAAACACGCTGCAGAAGTTTCCCTTTATTTGTGGCCTAGGTTTAAACCCTGAAGTTCCCATCTTTTCTTGCAATACTCAGTCTAAATGGACACTTGTATGGTTATAATGCATAAGGATAAATAAAACATGGCACAAGACCCCCTTCAAAAGGCGCACTCCATCGTTCAGTGCCAACCTGCCATGCAAGCTATGGAGCAAACAAAAACCTCCGGAACAGCCATGGGAAGTGGAGAACTCCCGCAGGGAGCGCAGAGCTGAGCTTCCCAAGCCCTCCCTGTGATGTCTCCTTGTGCTGCAAGGGGAGCTCACAAGAACACTGGAACACTGAATCATTTCTTCTCCCTGAACCGTGGCTTTCAAGCACGTTTCTGTTGGTTTGCAGTTCACTGCAACAGCGTCCACACCTTCCCCAAAGGAATCGTCTGCTTGGAGCTCCCACCACTTAACCCTCTTTGTGCTTTTGGCTCAGGCAAACCAAGGGAAGCGGAATCTGGCAAGAGCTGGGTGGGTTGGGATAACTCCCTCCAAGAAATAAGCACACCCATAATGTTCAGGTTTCCAAACCCTCTATTAAAAGACTGAATTCAGCACAGGAAGGGGTTGTACCTAGGACTTGATCCACCAAAGCCTTCTCCCATCACATCCCATCCCATCAGTCCTAAGGAGCATCTTCTGCCATGGGAAGGGACAGTGACCCCGGGCTGGGGAAGCACCTTTGGTACCGTGCCTGGAGGTGATGAGCACGAGCTCCAGACCGGCCAAGGAAGGACCATGGTGGGGGCTGAGCCTGGAGGGGAGTCACCATCGGCAGCCCAAGAACTGAGCCTCCTCTTCCAGCAGCTCCTGAGCAGCTCAGGTCCCACAGGGCCTTGTGCCAGTGTCCCCATAGGGTGACCGAGAGCACGGGGAGCCTCGGAGGAGATGAGCTGCAGCACGGCCACCGCACCCCACCAACACCATCACCCAGCCCATGGCAGACACCAGCTCCACACCCGCGGATGCTCCCCCTGCCCTGCAGCCGCTCCTCTGCTGGGGCTCTTCCAGTGGAAACCAGAACAGGTCCGGGGAGCAGAGGCTGCTTTCAAATACAACATCCCTGCAGAGCAGAACCAAACCACGC